CCTTTCTTCCTTGTGACACACCATAACGGTGGCTCAACCCCCCTCCCCCTAAGTGCGTTAAGTAATACTTGAACGGCTCGCTATTGGTTGAAATGGGTTGGGCCTGTGGTAGACCAAGGGAGAAAATGATGGACTAACTGTAGGGTCTCTCGTGGGTTACCGTCAGTTAGTCTATTACCCTCCTCCTTTGTCCATTAAAACCACCCGCTTCCACCAATAGGATCCTTCCGAATCCATTTTGTCTTCTTTGTCTATAGATACTTTGTCCATCAATTTCAATAATCGGCCCGCTGGTGAGATGAGCTCGACCGAGTTGTCTTTGTCTTCCGAGATAGGAGACAAAGATGATGAAGAAGGAGAGGAAGAAGAAGAGAAAGAAAATGAAAGGAGGAAGAATAAAAGAGGGAGAAAAATAAGAAGAGACAGAATAAAAAGAAGAACAAGAATAAAATGTAGACAAATAAGAGGAAGTAGGAATAGAAGAGGAGGAAGAAGAAAGAGAAGTACAGGAGGGAAAAAAGGAGAAAAATAAAATTATTTTCTCTCCTTTTTCTTCCTCCTCCTCCTCTTCGTTCTTTTCAATTTCTTCCTCTCCTTCATCATTCTCTTAAAGGTCCTTTTCCTCTTTTTTCTCCTTTATCATCTTATTCTTAATCCTCTTTTTCCCTCCTTTTTCAATTCTTCCTAATCTTTCTCTTTTCCTTCTTCCTCTTATCCTCCTCCATTATTCTTCTCTTTCTTCTCCTACATCTTCATCTTCTTAATTCTCTTGTCCATTCTTCCTTGCCTTCTTCTTCTTTCCTCTTTCTTTCTTTTTTTCCTCTTCTCTCCTTCTTTTTCTCTCTAATAGTAATCTAAAAAATATCTAAAAATAACTGCATTCATTCTTCGGTTGATTTATTCATGAATTAAATCATGCTGGAAATGGAATGTTCGTAAATTTTTCTCTTTTGTAAAATCTTTCTCTTATGGTACAGGTTCATTTTAAAAACGCGGCAATGCCATTCTTCATTACTTTTTTTTTAAAATTATGAGTGAATTTGAAGTACAGTCTTTTTTTTTCTTATTTTACATCGTAACTCGACGTCACAGAAGAAGTTTTTATTTACGAGTTCCGAGCCCGGCATTTTTCAAGCACTATGGCACCGTATGATATTTTAGCTCCAAAACTTGATTCCATGAAAATGTAAATCTATTTCAACAGAAAATTTCGTTACAAATTTAACACCTAAAAATTGGCAGTATGTATCTGAGTTACTGTTACCCATGACTCTTGTCGTCCACAATTCCATATGACCCATTCTAGATTTACTTGATAGAAAATTGTCTTTTTTTATTATTAGAAATCAATTTTATTCGAGAATTTTCGTAAATTCTAAACTTACGGATCCATAACAAATTCTGGCAGGAAAAAATTGACGCTGATAAGCTTCAGCCTCTTGAATACAAACGCCTGGGCGTAACAAAGGAACTTGAGAACATTCGTGCTCAAGGGATGTCCGTGTTGCATACACCCAAAATTGCAGGCGCTCTGGCTGTCTTAATCACAACGCGTACCTACGTGCGCGTGACTTGCGAGAAAGACCTCCGTGCTGCGCATGAACCTCGCGATGATCATGGCGAACTTCAGAATTTGCGTTAATTCTTTGAACAAGTATCGCTACATTGTTGGCAAATACTGCGATTTATGGAAACATTACAAGGCAGCTAAGTTTGCAGTTGTTACTTTTTGGAACTAGAAATGGTAACACGTGTTGGCACTATTCAGGTTGTTATAAAGTTTCAGTTTTTTCTTCTTTTTCAAGTATTTCCTCATAGAAAGCAATTTTAAGATATTGTTGAAAATCTTTTCGGAATATAATTGTTGAAAAATTTTCTGTGTTAAGATGATTTTAAAATATTTTCGTGTCATGGTAATGTTTTTGAAAATTTTAAACATAATTTTGAATAAATATCCGCTACGGTATTGTCATGAAAAGTATCTTAATTAAAATTGTTGGCTGAAATATTTTAATTTTATTGTTGATTTTAAGGGCACTCCAACCTGTTTCCGAAGACAAAAAATTGAATCATGGATACTAGACCAAGGAGGTCTTTAACACTTAGAAATTAAATGCGTAAGAATATGAAACCTACAGACGAAAATTATAACGGTTTAAGCAAGTCAAGTTTGCAACATATGAATTCTGAGAAAAAGTTGTTTAAAATTTAATTCATCATGTTCAGTTTATGAAATCATAGGATTTCAAAGCTAGAATAAAGCAACTTTAAGCTTCTGATTAGCAGTGCGTAGGATGACAGAGGGAAAATATTAGTGGGGGATAGAAAAAGAACAAAAAGTAATAAGGGTGGAAGAAACAAGAGAATGGATGAAAAAAGGTAAGCTTAGGAAGAGTAACCACAGATGGACTGATTTAAAGACTCCCAGGCTATAAGTCCAGGGCCGGATTTACCTACTTGCCGCCCATGGGCCGCCTGTATTTTGCCGCCCCCCTTTTCATTCGTTTTGAAACATCAATAAAAACCATCAAAAGAACGTGCCAGAGGTGGAGGGGGGGTGCATAAGACCCGTTTACTCGTGTTGAACACATTTTTTGGGAAAGCCCTGTCAACACTACTAGCAAAAGGTCACGGAACTTTGCGCGAAAGTCAAGTTTCGTAAACCTATTTCTAATGGACAAGGCCTTTCATTCATAGGAAATGAACGAAAAAATTATGAAAAAACAAACACAAAATTTGGTTTAATGATTTTAACTTCCGCCGTCGCGCCGCGCCGACCGCACCGTGTTTGGCGCAATGCGTGAAGTATTCACGCAGTCTTGTAGGCGCTATGCGTTTCACGCTGACCACAATAACCGCACTGTGTTTGATGCAATGCGTGAAGTATTCGTGCAGTCTTGTGGGCGCTAATATGTGTTACATGCCGATTGCCGCGCCGAGGACTTCTCCTTTTCATCCTAAGTCCTCGTCATCATCTCTCCCTAAGTCGCGCCGTTCCAGGCCAAATTGTGTGTTTGGTTTCTCTCTTAACTCGACAAATTAAAGGTGCTGTCTCTTGTATCACTGAAAGACGACAAAATTAGAAATTACTATATACTCTCAGGAAATGAGAAATTTTGTAGCCTTTTCTGGATTGTAATTTTTTTTCTAAATCCGATTTTTGTATACCTACATTTAAAAAAATTGCAAAATTTGCCGCCCCCTAGATTTGCCGCCATGGGCCGCGGCCCATGTGGCCACCCCCTTAATCCGGCCCTGTATAAGTCCGATGTATATTGATGGTAAAAGTATACGAAACCACGTATCTCAATTTGCGACGTTGTATACTTTCTGTCATACTATATTTTTTCTTTGGAAAACTACTTATTTAATTTCTCTTCTCTGTCAGCAGAATTAATTCTGTATACATTTTATGCAATGAATTTGACTTTGTTGCTCTTCAAAAAATAAAATCGTCTGCGGAGATTATGAAACACGGAAATGGAGACACGCAATTTTGCAGTTTGATCATTAATATGGAGTCGCACGGGTCCCTAACGACGCGTCAAATTGAATTTGCCGCCACGAAAAAGCTCAACAGTCAACGGAAGCCGGTCGATCGATGAGCTTGTTACGTCATTCAATTTTCGGTCGGCAAAAAATTTTCATCAACCCAGAAATACCGTAACTATTTTTTGACTTTTAATTATTTTATTCAATTAACTTAAAGTGTCGAAATTTGTCTGTGTTACCTAACTCGAGACACTTTTCTCTATTCAATTTCCTAGTTTTTTTAGTGTGGACCTGCCCAAATGTTCATTTTTTTTTGGGCGGAACTTTCTTCGCGCGGAGTTTGCCCGCTCGCGCTTGGGAGCGTTGATCTTTAGTCATGTGTTGGTTTGTTGATTTCGTTTCTCGACCCATTTGCGAACTGATTTTCCGGACCTGCTTCCCATGATTGGTAATATATATTCAATTTCGTCCTCTCGTACCAAATTATTGCTGCCCAACTCCAACTTGATGAAAAGAGAAGGAGGGTCTCTCCCTTTATCAGCCTACAGTATACCTGACCTGCTGAAATTCTGGAGTAAAATTCTTACCCTAGGACAGTCATGAAACTTTCCTTGTCTCTCCTCCTGCTTCAGAATGAATCGATTGTGTTTTATAAAATTATCTCGTTTGTGGTTGAAGGCCAATGCATGTTAGGTGGTGGCAGCAGTAATTCCGTCGGACGCCAGGTGCCGAGCAATCCAATGTTTACATAGGAGTTCGAACTTCAATAGCTCTAGATAGCCTCAGATGTGGAAAAGGTTATACCGTAATTCTGAATATTTCTCGCAGCATGAAGTTTCTGTGGACCAAAGTTTCAATTTTAGCAAAGCTACTGAGGTTTGGTGTCAGGGTCATTGCTCTCGTAAATGGCTTATTTTGTACCAAGGAGCAAACCCAGTGCAGGAAGGGAGTCCGGATGCTTTTAGTAATGTTGTTACATCAGGAATTCTCTATTTTGTCAAATTGAAGCCAAACAATTATTGTGTCTTAACCTTTTTGATTCCTACCCATGAGAATAAATCATTAGAGTTGCTTTCCTGTGATGTAATGATAGCATCCATGATTTTAGCACTAACACTGAACACTCTAAATCGCACTATTGTGTATGATTGCTTATGAGCAATAGTAAGATGGAGTCCTTGCCAAATAAGTACGCACTCTTAGACCATGACCGAAGATCTACCATCTTGATTCTTCCATTTACTCTAGTGTAAAAGTGATGTTAGACGATCTTCTGTCCCAGTCTTGAAGTGCGCAACTAAACTTATTTGGCGTGAGCTCTATGCAGGAGGAGGATTATATGGACCAGTTCTCTTCAATTTAGGTGTATCAGTCCTATCACTTCATCGAATTTATTAGCTAAACTTTTGAAAGAGCAGTGGAAGAAACTGTATTGCGGGCGGGTAATTTAAGTTTTGTAAGTTATCAAGTTGACTTTACCCAAAGCTGGAAAGCATCAGCTATTGGAATCAGAGGGCACAATTTATAGTGAGCATTAAAAAAAAATTGCTAAAAGACTTTATCTACAGGGCCAAGGAGTCTTAGCTGATTTTGAGTCAGTCATTGGCACCATTGTCTCATCTGTGTGTCTCAAAATTGCATAATTGTAGTGTGCCCAAAAAGTTATTCAAACACAGCTCTCAAAGTAGAAGTTTCTTTTCAAATTAATGTTTTGTTCCTTTCTTGTTTAGATTTCTCAGGTGATGTTAATGACAAACCAAGCTCTTAATGGATTATGTTAACCAGCAAGTGGAGAACTCAACTAAGTAGTCAGCGCTGGATTTCTCTTTTCAAACTATATGGAACCATCAAATGAATGTAAGTCAATTTTTTAGAGCATCTAGGGTGTCTACAGGTCTGGAAAAGTCAGGGAAGCTATGAAAAAGACCAGAAATTTGACAAATTTGAAATCTTGAATTCTGAAAAAAAAGGAGAAAAAAACACATCAGTGTTGTCCGCACTGTTACCGCATCTCAGTCTGGTTCGGATCTCAATGCTCTGTGTTACTCTTTGAATAGTACTTAGATAGAGAAATACTTTTTAATATGAAATTGAAATTCTCGGTCAATGTCAAATGATTCACACCTGAAGAAAAAGGTTCACATTTTTCTGTCATTCCCAGTGATTTTTGGAGAAAATGATCGTCAACTTTCAGTTCTATGCTTGCATATTGTCCGGGATAACCTGGAAAAGTCAAGGAACTTTTGCCCACCAAGTGTGCAGACACCCTGGTGACCATTGTTCACCTAAAGCAAAAAATAAAGGTTACAGTTTTACAGAAAATTAAGAAAGATCGATTCAGGAAGGCAAAAAATACTCCATCTTGCATCCTTTAGCAAGAAATTCTGAAACATCCAGGTTTTTCAGATAGCATACAAATACAATTCTGTATAAAACTGAAAATATCATGATGATAAGAAAAGACTCATTTGAGCAAAACATTTTTCCAGAAAGGTATACTGTATTAGTGCTGATCTAGTTACGCCCAGCAGGAAGGCAACAGGATTGTTGCAAGATCCAAAAATTTTTTTGAAAGTGTTTCTTAGTAAATTTTAGCAAGAAATGTGCTTCTTAGCTTCTTTATAAAGCTTAAGAGTGCTCTTTGAACTGGAAAAAGGAGGCTCGAAGTTGACGTTGTGAATAAATGATGTCATATTGGGCAATAACCTCATGGTTTAGGTCACCTTGAATCCAGTGCATCATGGCTGCTGTACAATTCAGAGTTGCTTGCATTTACTTGCAAGTCGTTCATATTTTAGTACCAAGAACGTGTTTGGCTCAGTAGCATTATCTGTAGATTGTCTAATTAATATTACCTTGTGATTGTTTTTTACTCAGTATGGAGAAATCAAACAAAACCCCTCCTTGAAGGAGGGTTTACCATGAATTTAAATTTTTTTTAATCTCTGCATAGAATTAGAGACTCAATGTAGACATGAAAACAGCTGTATCCTGTCACAAAACAACATTGCAATGTTAACTTTGAATGTATAATTTGAGGTTGTAATTGAATTTCTGATCCATAAATAACGCACATGTATTTTTACAAAAATTACTTTGACAGGGTTGCTACAGGCAGGTAAAACCAGGAGATGCTAGGGAGAAATCATGAAGTAACTTTATTCCTTTCTAGAATGGGTTTGACGTTTGGCACAGCAGATTCTCTCTGAAAATTATTTTTAATTTTGTTTTCATAACCACATGACGCACATATCTTCAATTGGCAGGGAATTTCACCCAAATGTGTCAAGAAAATTCATTTAAATTTAATGGCAACCCTGCATTGAATATTCCTCTTTCAAAATGAACTTCCAGGGCAATTCTTTTTTCTCTGATTTTCATTCCTTCCTTTTGATTTTTTTCAGGTTGTAACAAACTGCAGTAGAAAAATCAATTGTTTTTGCCGTTCAATCCATCAAAGTATTGCAATTTTATTACATCAAATTATTTACGATTGAATAATTTATCGCAATCTGCCAGTGGAGGTGAGTGAGTCCAATTTTTATCAAATTCATAACCGTACTGAAGAACTCTCATCTTTACGAATCAACTCTGGTTCATCCAAATCTCGACCAAGCAGAAGATATTTTTGTCAAGGTTGTCAACTGTGATTCAGAGAAGTTCCTGTTGACTTGCTTAGTCCTGGTCACCCTCTGAAGTAATTGGTTCAAATTGAAAGTCAGCTTTTAGTGCAAGCAATATAGTAAAGAAATGGAATTGAATACAGAGTCAGTAGTGCTACCTGATGATCAAAATAAAATTTTTTGTGACCGGATGATCCCGTGTAAGGAAGATGGTTCTGTAAAAAATGTATCAACTGTTGGAGATAGTCCTGAATTTTCATCCAAAGAAGAAACTGACAGCTCTAATAGCAGTTTATCTCCCATTGTGGAAACAACTATGGTGTGCAATGAAAAAGCCAGTTCACCTCTGAACTCGAAATTCCCAGACTTATCTACCTTTCCTAATGGAAGTCTAACAGACGAAGAAAATCTTACAACATTTGACAGCAAAAAGAAAAATGGAATCTTGGGACCTACTTCTGAAAAGCTGCAAAGTGTGCATTTTGAAGTTTCCGATGCCAAGAAAATTGCCATTGTTGAGGATGATTCCCGTAAGCGCAATGATGTCAACAATGGGAAGACCTGTCTGCCGATTGAGAACGACTTCAGTGATATACTCAAGTGTTCTCAGTTTGTAAGGACAGAGAAGAAAGAATATTCTACTGATGCCGTGAATCTAGACGAATTGGATCAATCAGTGTCAAAAATCTTAAATTCGACAAAGAATGTTTCTGCAACAAAGAATGATGGAAAGACTGAACCCTCAGTAAGCACTGGACTAGATTCAGAGACTGCTGTAGGGAAGGGTGACCATACATATCACCTACCACTCTCAAAATTAGAAAACGGTGGGGGAGATATTGCGAACAAGGCTACACCCCAAAATGTCTCTAGCTTAGAAAAGTTAAATGACCACTTGCGACCGATTCTTGATGCTAACTCTAACCTTTCATTGACAAATTCAAATGGTGAGGTTTGTGAGTTTCCCATTAGTTCCATTGAATCCTCCATTCAAAATTTTAAAGGTTCAAAACAGGAGAATCTTTCATCACTCAAAAGTAAGTGCACATTGTCAACTGAAGAGAAGGAGGAACCAACCTTAAAGCAAAACGTTGACATAGTGACCAAAGAGATTCAAGAATCGTCCACTTCTTTGCTTGGAACCAAAGTCACATCTGTTTCAAATGATGCATGCAGAAATGAGTCTACTTCAATGGAGACAGACAATCAGCTTACCAAAGAAAAGATAGAAAGCTCCTCTATCCCATCATCCTCGTCGGAATCGCAATTGAAATGTGTAAGCACAAATATCAGTGCTCAAAGTCCAGAAGGAGAAGGAATCACACCTAAGCAACTAGCCAAATCTGATGATGTTCAAGCCGAAAGTCCTGTCAACGATAAAAGTACATCCAAGGATGCGGGAAATGCCAGCTCGGAAGAATCCGTCTCAACTGAAATGAGTTATGACTGTAACGAGTGTGGTGCAAGAATGAAAACGCAAAACTCTCTTTTCACCCACAAAAAAATGCATCTAAGAGGGTCCATTGCATCGGCGACAATCCTCAAGCGAAAATTTGAAGCAAGCGAAGAAAATGAGGCTCCGAAAGAGGTGAAGCGCAAAAGAGGAAGACCTAAATTGATTAAATCAGAAAAAAGTGTGAACGCTGACGATGTGACTCCTTTGAAAGAGAATGTTGCCAAGAAAGTTTTGAGAAAAGTGGTGCCTGCAGTTGAAGTGAAGAAGTCCCAATCGAAGCAAAAGGCAAATGAAGTGAAAGAAAACAAAATCTCCAACAACGATAGGGCAACGAGAAGAGTAAGGAATCTGAAACTGCGCGAGCCTGTCCTGGCTAAAGTCAACTCAAACAAGCCAAAAAATACTTTGAAGTCTGAAAATCGCGACATTGGTCCCACCAAAGAGTATCCTAAAATTGAATCTGTTCAAGCCAAAGGGAAAACCAAAAACTTTTATTCCACTACTGTTGAAAGAGACCTGCAGCGGAAATTTGTGTGTTCAGAGTGTGGAGCTAAATTCAAACGGAATGACCATTTGAAAAGGCACCAGTTGCTGCACTCGGAGAAAACATTTCAATGTTGTGACTGCGGTATGAAATTTTATCGTGGTGACAAACTGAAGCTGCACACTTTCAGGCACCATCTTAAAGTGTCTTCATCGGCTGCCAAAAGTAATATTATGAGCAAGGCCAATAAATCCGCCAAGGTTGTAAATCCTAAAGTGAACTTGAAAAAAGTGGCAGTTGTGAAGGTTTCGAAAATTCCAAAAAGAAGCGTAGAATGTCACAGGTGCGGGATTCAATTCCGGCGTATCATTCCACCTAAGACTGATAAGTCCGGTCTAAGCCGACGCAAAAACTCTTGCTGTATTAGTTGCGGAGCCAAAATGCTCGATGAAATTAATTGATTTTTTTTCTTTGTTTTATGTTTTTTTTTTTTTCATTTTACACCATAGTTTCCTCTTCCTTTGTTGTG